AGCACGCAGCCGGCCCGGGGCTCCTCAGCGGGTGTTTGGAAGGAGCCCGCCCGTCGCCGGCGCCCTTGGGTGAACGCCCTTCGGAAACACCGCGGAGACACCCAGGGCGCCGTGCGACCCGAGCGCGCACACGGTGGCTAATCACCCTGCAGCCCAGTCCCCAACTGGCTGCTTTCAAACTGTGTATTTTTATTACGTTCCCTTTTTAGTTTCAGCTGCAAAATTGTTACCCCCAGGAGCACTTGAGATCCTGCTCCCAGGAGCATGTCGTAATTCTGGCTCCAACAAACTCGTAAAAATTCCCTACAGCTGTGGATGTTCGCTGTGTCCTCAAGGTCTGCCTCCGGTTCCCACGCAAAACCTCTGGCCTGTAGCCGGTGACTGTGCCCCAGTCACGTAGTATTTCTGGCTCCATAAGCTAATATCTGCAGCTGATCCCTCTGTATCCACAGGGACTGGTTCCAGGTCCCTGCAGAGCAAAGTCTCTGGATGCCCAAGTCCCTCACATAAAACAGCCTAGTATTTGCATGTAGCTTACACACTTTCAGTCATCTCTAGATAATTTTAATACGTAATGCAATATAAAAGCTATGTAAATACGGGTCCCCCCCCCCATATTTTCAATCCTCACCAGAGGATATGTATTTTTTTATTGATTTGAGAGAGTTTCTTCCTTGATGTGAGGAAGAAACTTCAATCACCTGCCTCCTGTACACACCCCAATTCCGATCAAAGATCAAACACTCAGCCCAAGTATGTGCCCTGAACGGGAATCAAACCACAATCTCCTGGATCCTAGGTTGATGCTTATCCGCTGAGCCAGGCCGGCCTGGCTGCTAGGTCATTCTTAATTTCCTTCATAGTTTCCCCATCTTCTCTCATCATCCCTACAGTATTCTGAACTCTGTATCTGATAGATTGCTTGTCTCCATTTCACATAGCTCTTCACCTGGAGACTCATCTGGTTCGTTCATCGGCGGCTTGTTTTTTTTGTCTCCCCATTTTCACTTTTGTTTGGGTAATTTTCTGTGTATTGGGTAGATCTGCTAGGACTCTCAGTCTTTTTAGGGGGTCTCAAGTGCAGGCCAATGTCAGATGCTGTTTGTGAGTGGCCTTGAATACCCTTTGGAGCTATCAACAACCCACTGCTTGAGGTTCCCTCACTGGGGCTGTGTTTGGACAGGACCGAGATGCACACCAAAGTCTTCTCTTCCAAGGCCTGGGTCCAGAAGCAGATCAGGCAAAGACTCAAAGCACTCTGGGGTCTGCCTCTCCTGCAGGCTGATTAATCTGATTCTCTTAATGAGCCTCAGGCTGTAGAAACTTTGTAGGGAGGGGCCTGAGGCTTTCCAGCAAGGTGGAGTAATTGTTCCCCCCCACCCCCAAGGCAAAAGCTGCTGGGAAGGCAAATGTCTGCCTCTGCAGTCTTGGGGAATGACTCAGCCCAGGAATCCAGAGGCCTGCCCTTTGAGCTCCATGTCCAGGGCCTACAGCCCTAGATTGTCCTCACACAGCTCCAGTCCACTCTGCCTTCGAAACTTTGTGTACTGGCTCTTTAAGAGGGAGCCTGCATTTCCAGGCGTCTCTCCCTGGCAGAAAGAAACCCGCTTTTCACAGCCACGTTATGTGGGCACCTGTCTCAGGTCTGGTGCTCTGGGCTGGGGAGCCCCGCCAGGGGTTTAGGCCCCAGAGTTCTCAGTGGTAACCCCCCACAGCTGAGATCTCCCTCCGGAACTTTAGCTGCAGTCAGGCAACACCTAACCAGACTAGGGGAAAGACTTTCTTTGAGCAGAAAGAAAGTAAAGCAAGAAAATTACTTAATTGGCTATAGCTTACAGAGTTGCTTCATTTGGGAGAGCCTAGTAGGTTGTTTGTGATTTGTTATTTTTAGGTTTAAATTTCTTACCATGGAGGCATTTACAAGAATCTACTGTGAATTAGGTATTTCAGTTTGATTGTGTAGGCTGCATGGCAATGGAGCCACCTCAGTCTGATTACCTCGTTTAATTACAGTTCCATGCAGATGGCTTCAGTGTCTGGAGGCCTCAGTGGACTCCTCGGCAGAGGAGGTCCTGGGACTAGAGCCCTTTCACCAGTAGACGGATTGGCTCACTGCAGACACTCAAAGGGTGTCCCCAAGAAACCTTAGCGTCACTGCTCTCTCTGAGTGTGCACATCAACAGCCCCATGGACTGGAACAGGATGGAAGTAGGCTGTTGTTCCCCAGTCAGCTTCTCAAGGTTTCACTTCTGTACCAACCCTGTCCATCAGCACCACCTAGGGACTCATTAGACATGCTACTTCTTAGCTGAAACCCAAACCTATGGAGTGAGAGGCAAGAATCAGTGTTTTGAGGCACCTTCAGGTGGTATACATGCAAAACAAAAGGAATTGCATCTCTTGCTGTGGTTCCTGTGGACAGGGTACTTGAGATCATGTGACTAACATGAACTATAGCTGCGGGATTTCACAACTGAGGTTACAAAAGTTTAGTAGGGCACATTATCTTAATTTAGGAGAAAAAAAGTAATATATAGAATGTCCAAATTTCCATTTTTTATTAATATATTATAAGCCACTTATAAACATCAAAAGTGAAAATGTCTCTAATCATTTTTCCTTTTTCTAATCATTTTAAGTCCTGAAGAAAAACAATGTTTAGAAGACAGCGTCCATTTAAATTACATTTTGCACATGCATGGACTGCAACTTAAACCTAGGAAAGACCCATAGGCAAGTCAGGAAGTGTAACATATTACACATGCTTCCCATATAAGTGAAAGTATGGGGATCTCCCCATTATGTATATTTCAGTTACATGAGTTTCAAAAGAGACAGATGGCTCCTCAAAAGAATTTCCTCCAGGCTTGTTACACAGAACATAAAATTGCACATTCCCACCCATTTAAGGCCTTTCTCTAGTGGGAACTCTCTGATGATAAAGTTTGAAACTACAGATAAAAGATTTTGAACATTTACTGCACTCATAAGGCCTTTCTCCAGTGTGAACTCTAGTGTCGGACCATTGTTGAACTCCTGCAAAAAGATTTCCCACATTCACTATGGTGATAAAAATCTTTTTCTTGTGTGTACTCTCTAATGCTTACTGAGGTTGGAACCAGATAAAAAAGACTTCCCACATTCACTGCATTGATAAACCAGGCATTTCTCCCATATGAACTCTCTTGTGTATAAGAAGGGAATTTTTTCGAAGAAATGATTTCCCACATTGACGGCACTGATAAGGCCTGTCTCCTGTGTGAATTTTCTGGTGTGTAAGAAGGCAATTACGTTGGGTAAAAGATTTCCCACATTCATTGCATTGATAAGGTCTTTCTCCTGTGTGTACTCTCTGATGGCTACTGAGGTTGGAACCACATGAAAATGATTTCCCACATTCACTGCACTGATAAGGCCTTTCTCCTGTGTGAATTCTCTGGTGTATGATAAGGTAATTTCTTCGGGTAAAGGATTTCCCACATTCAGTGCACTGATAAGGCCTTTCTCCTGTGTGTACTCTCTGATGACTACTGAGGGTGGACCCAGATAGAAAAGATTTCCCACATTGACCACACTTATAAGGCCTTTTCCCACTGTGAACTCTCAGATGATAATGAAGGCCAGGGCGAGAGGTAAAAGATTTCGTACATTCACTACACTCATAAGACTTTCTTCCACTATGAACTATCCTGTGTTGAGTGAGATAAGATTGTTGGCTAAAGGATTTGGAACATTCACTGCACTCATAAGGCCTTTCTCCTGTGTGCACTCTCTGGTGTTGAACCATTTTTGACTTTCTGCTAAAAGATTTCCAACATTCACTACATTGATAAAGTCTTTTTCCAGTGTGTGTCCTCTGATGATTACTGAGGTTGGAACTAGATAAAAAAAACTTTCCACATTCATTGCACTGATAATGTCTTTCTCCAGTATGAACTCTCTGGTGTCGAACCATTGTGGAGTTTGTGCTAAAAGATTTCCCACATTCACTACACTGATAAAGTTTTTCTGGTATGTGTACACTCTGATGACTACTGAGTTTGGAACAAGATAAAAAAGATTTTCCACATTCATTGCACTGATAAGGTCTTTCTCCTGTGTGAACGCTCTGGTGTGTAATAAGATAATTTCTTCGAGTAAAGGATTTACCACATTCACTGCATTGGTAAGGCCTTTCTCCTGTGTGTACCCTCTGATGACTACTGAGGTTGGAACCAGATAAAAAAGATTTCCCACATTCATCACATTGATAAGGCCTTTTCCCAGTGTGAACTCTTAAATGGTAACGAAGGCCAGGGTGAGAGGTGAAAGATTTCCCACAGTCACTACATGCATAAGATTTTCTTTCATTATGAACTATCCTGTGCCGAGTGAGGTAAGATTGACAGCTAAAGGACTTCCAACAGTCACTGCACTCATAAGGCCTTTCTCCTGTGTGCACTCTCTGGTGTAGAATGAGTACTGAACTCTTGGGGAAGGATTTCCTACATTGACTGCACTGAAAAGGCCTTTCTCCCATATGTACCCTCTGGTGTAGGGTAAGTACTGAACCACTGGTAAAGGTTTTCCCACACTCACTGCATTCATGAGGCCTTTCTCCAGTGTGAACTCTCCAATGTAAAATGAGGTAAAATTTTCTTCTAAAGGATTTCCCACAATGTGTGCACTCATAACGCCTTTCTCCAGAGGGAACTGTCCGTTGTCGAATAAGGATGCATTTACGGCCAAAAGATTGTGCACATTCACAGCACCACTCACATTTTTTTCCATTATGACTTCTCCAGGGATAAATGAAGACCAATTTTTGGTTAAAGGACTTCCCACATTTTCCACACTTGTACTGCCTTGACCCACATTGAATTCTTCGATGCTGACTGAGGGTTGAGGTTTGCCTAAAAGACTTCCCACATTCACCACACACAAGCAGCTTTCCATTTGTGTGAACTCTCTGGTGAACAATTAATGAGGACTGATATCTGAATGTTTTCCCACATTCACGGTGCACAACACACTGTCTTCCAGTGTGGACTTCCAGGTCCCGAGCATGTGTTTGTCTGGGGCTGAAGGCATTCTTATATTCTCCCCTGGTGAAATGACTTTTTCTGTTTTGTATAGTTGCGAACCACTGGGTGATTCTGTTCGCCTCCTCCCTGGTATGAGTTGTCTGCTGCTGGACATGTTCTGAGGTGGCCAGGAAGTCCTTCCCAACTTCATCACAGGTAAAAGGCTTCTCTGAAACATGAAAATTATAGCTCTTCAAAAGCAGGGCCCTGTCCACAGTGCTTCTGAAGGGTTTCTCTGCCAGGTGCTGTTTCTGGTGTTTTTGGAAGTTTGCACTAAAATACAATTGTTTCATAAATTCCTCACACCTGAACACTGTCTGTGTGTGTGGTGTTTCTTGGTGCTCAGTCAACTGGAATATGTTTCTCAAGACTGGACCACAGCTCTCACAGAATTGGGTCTTCAGGGAAGACAGAGCTGCCTTGGAGGTGCTGGCCTGTGATACTCCTACAGAAACACTCTGTTCAAAGGGTGCTTTCATATCCTCAGGTCCACAGCAGCAACCTGAACACAAGTAAATGGTAAGGAAGTACATGTTGACTATAAGAATGGGCAATGGCATCATAAATGTGCATCAGTCATGTCTAGGAATGAGTCTGTGGGATGCTTTTTTTTTTAAATGTACTTTTTTATTGATTTCAGAGAGAGGAAGGGAGAGGGAGAGAGAGAGAAACATCAATGATGAGAGAGTCACTGATCAGCTGCCTTCTGCATATCCCCTTCTGGGGATGGAGCCGGCAACCTGGGGAAGTGCCCTGACCGAGAATCAAACTGTGATCTCCTGGATCGTAGGTGGATGCTCAACTGCTGAGCCATGCTGGTCAGGCTATGGGATACTTTTCAATGAAGGTAATTAATATCTGGTTGGGGAAGTGGCTATTAGGCATGACTATACCTCTAAGGCAAAAAAATGGTCGCCTTCACCAGGGGAAGGTTGCAAGAATAGGGCAGAACACAAAGGAGACAGGCATGTTCTAATACTTGTTGATCTGCCTAAAGATTCCTGTAGGGCCCTGACTGTGTTATTCAGTGGTTAGAGCGTTGGTCCTGGAGCTGAAGAGTTGTGGGCTTTATTCCTGTTCAAGGGCACATACCTTGTTCGCAGGCTCGATCTCTGTCCCTGGTCAGGGCACAAGCAGGAAGCTACCAATTGATGTGTCTCTCTCATATCAATGTCTCTCTCTCTCTCTCTCTCTCTCTCTCTCTCCATTCCATTCGATCTGAAAAGCAATGGAAAAAATATCCTCAGGTGAGGATTAAAAAAAAAAAGGCAACATAAAGAATGGGAGAAAATATTTGCAAGCCATGTATCTGATAATGGGGTAATATTTTTAAAATATAAGGTACTCATACAGCTAAAGAACAATCTGATTAAAATATATGCAAAGGCCTGGCCGGGCGTGGCTCAGCAGTTGAGCATTGACCTAGGATCCAGGAGATTTCGGTTCAAGTCCAGCCAGGGCACATGCCCAGGCTATAGACTCGATCCCCAGTGGGGGGTGGGCAGGATGCAGCTGATCAATGACTTTCTCATCATTGATGTTTCTCTCTTTCAGCAATCAATGAAGATACATTTTAAAACAAACAAAATAAAGTATGTGCAAAGGATCTGAGTTAAGTGTCTAACAGGTAAGTGTCCATGAAAAATTGTTCTTCCTCACTAATTCTCAAGAAAATGTAAATTCAGCCCGGCCGGGAATGGCTCAGCGGTTGAGTGTCGACCTGGGATCCAGGTGATCAGGGTTCGATTCCTGGTCAGGGCACATGCCCAGGTTGAGGGCTCGATCAATGACTCGCTCATCATTGACGTTTCTATCTCTCTCTCTCCCTCTCCTTTCCTCTCTCTGAAATCAATAAAGATATATTTAAAAAAAAAAAAAAAGAAAATGTAAATTCAAACTACAGTGACACATTATGTCATACACTTTAGGAGGCTATCACCAAAAAGACACGAGGTAAGTGTGTCAGCAAACCTGTAGAGAGAAGAGAATGCTTACACACTGTTGGTGGGAATATAAATTGTTCAAGGCATTATGAAAAACAGTATAAAAACACCTCAAAAAATACATAGAAGAATTTCCCTATAGGCCAGCAAGCCTACTTCTAGGCATATGTCTGAAGGAAATGAAATCAGAATGTGAAAGAAATCTGCACTCATGTTCACTGCACCACTCTTACACACAATACACAAGACATAGAAACAACATAAGTGTCCATAGACACACACACATTCCCTTAAAGTATTATTAAGCCTTAAAAAAGAAGGAATCCCCCCACTCCCAGAAACCAATAATAAAAAATTTAAAAAAATTAAAAACAGGAAAAAAATGAAAAAAATCCTGTCACATTCATCAACTTGGATGAATCTGGAGGGCATTATTCTAAATGAAATAAGCCAGTCACAGAAAGATAAATACTCTATGTTATCACTGAGATGTGGGATCTAAACAAAAAAGTTCAACTGACAGTAATATAATGTCAGGGCCAGACAACCAAGGAAATGGAAGTTATTGGTCAAAAGGTACAAACTTCAGTTATAAGATAAATAAGTTGTAAGGACCAAATGTAAAACATGGTGGCTACAGTTAGTAATACTATATTTTACACTTAAAAGTTACTGGGAGAGAATACCTTAAGTGCTGTTACTTTCTTAAAAAGTGATTATAGCAGGTGATGGAAGTGTTCATTAACTTGATTATGGCAATTATTTCATATATATATACATCAAATCATCACATTGTACACTTTAAATATATACTGTTTTGAATATCGGCAACCCTGGAACAAAAAAAAAGATCTAAAAATAACTATAAAGGCGCAAAGGGTCTTGAAGAAATAGCCAATTGTCCAGCTAAGCAGTGATCATAAGAATGCCTGCAATTCCTGGCACACCCAGGCCCTAGGAAATGTCAGCTAAAGAGGGATCCAAATAGGTACCATGGACCCGGACACACGGACCCGGCCAGGCAGGGCAGGCCTGGGGAACGCACAGGCTCACTTCCATCCGCCCCCGACGAGAGCGCAGTGCAGCAGGTGTCGGCAGACAGGACGGGGCCGAGCCACCCACCCGGCCCTGGAAGCGCGGCCCGCGAGGGAAGGAAGCAGCGCCCGGGGTCCCCGCCAGGACAGAGCGCCCCCTGGGGAAAGGAGGGTGCGCGGCCG